CTCTTGGGCTACTCTTTTACCAACGAATAGTGGGATTGACCGTCCCAGTCTTCGTGGCCCGGCATGGCCAAGTGGTTAGGTCGCTTGACTCGCAATCTGAGGGTCACGGGCTCGAACCTCGGTCCCACGAAACATGCTCGCCCTTTCAGCCGTGGGAACGTTATAATGTGACGGTCAATCCCACTATTCGTTGGTAAAAGAGTAGCCCAAGAGTTGGCGGTGGGTGGTGATGACTAGCTGCCTTCCCTCTAGTCTTTCACTGCTCAATTAGAGACTGCTTGCGCAGATAGCCCTCGTGTAGCTTTGCGCGAAATTGAAAACAAACAAACAAACAAACTTAGTCTTCGTAATACGAGGATACCGTTAAGGTAACACCTGCACCTTCCTGCCATGTTTACCATATTGGGAAGTATGACAGAAACAGAGGCTAAGCTTTCTTCTTGAACAAATAGACTGAATAACCAAAAATAAATAAATAGTGCAATTTAAATTTATTTTTTTTCCAAAAACAAACAAACAGCAATTTGCTTTCCTGTTAACGAGATTATGTCATCGCCGTCCTGTTAACGAGATTATTTTAATTACCTCGAAATAAAATACAAAAAATTCAAATTATATAATAACTTATTCATATTTCAATAGTGGCACAGCGGTATGTCTGCGGACTTACAACGCTAGAAACCGGGTTTCGATACCCGTGGTGGGCAGAGCACAGATAGCCCATTGTGTAGCTTTGTGCATAACTTCAAACAAACAAACAAACATATATCAATTGTTTGATGACCTTGAAAACATTTGGAAGCAAGATATTATGTCATATTGTAACTTTAATACCACATTATCCAACATTAGTAAGTATTTTGGGGTATCCCCGAGTTGGATAACACAAGCTTGTTAACATGGAATATTAAAAAAAACAACAGTTACGCCAGTGGTTTACTGTCGGATTTCTGTTGTCTGGGTCGCCAATTTGTAGTGACAAGAGTCTTCATAAATGTAGATATAATCCTCCCTCCTTCCCAACAAGAGCATGTTACACCTTAATCTCGTACAGCGTGACTTTGAATGTGAAATCTTATACTGAAATACAATAATACCTTAACTTATGTTTCAAAGCCAACGTAAATGCTAAATTACTTACCTTGTCAATTATTCGTGATTATTTCTTATTTTGTGATCCAGATTATCTTAAACAGTTTTATATTCACGAACGGATAAAGTACAGGCATTGTAAAAAAATATGTTTATCGGTAACAGCACGTTCTGTCTCTCTACTTATCCATTAAAAATATAAATATATATCACTTCAACATGCTGGTCGCTTGTTGACTTATATACGTTAAGCGCTGTTATTTGTTTGTTCTTCATTAAAAGTGTTTTCCATGTTTGACTGTTTTTGTACTTAACAACGTCTTTATGTGGCACGTGAATTCGATTACCTATAACATTCCCCCAACCCCCAAACACACAATCAATGTGTACAACCCTCTTTCTCCCAACCTATCATAAAAGCATAGTTAACAGAACAATTTTCTATCGACTTACATATATACAAACTGGAGTGGCGGTAAAGCAAAGTTAAAACCGGTTTAAAGTCGAGTAACATTATATTAAGAATTAAAAACCAATCCTGTTCACAATGTTTCTCACTTTGATTATTCATAATTACTATCGGTTTAAAAAACTTTAATGAAAAGCCATATATATATATATATAGAGAGAGAGAGATAGAAGCTTCCTCGAGCAAAAAAAAAAAAAGTTAATATTATCATTATTTTGAAGAGAAAAACTTTCCAATTTACTAAGAGATTGCAGTTACGTCATAAAGGTTTCCTGCCTTATAAACAACAACGTTTAAAACAAAGACAGGTAGAACTTCTATCAAATTCTGCCTGAATGTGTGTACTAACAAATTCTTAGTTATTAAATTTATTAATACTCAGACAGCAAGTTAATACTTGCAATTAAGGGTTAAGCCTCACTTTATTGTCCCTGCCGAGTGATTTAACGAGGCTACGAGCTATAGAGTTTGAAAGAACAGCAATAAAAAAAAACAACATTCATAACGCATTACCTGTTAAAAGAAATAAATCGTTGAACCAAGTCCTTTAAATTTAAGTTAGACTTGTATAATACTGTAGCTGCGCACTGTATGTTAAGCTACTTTAGTCCCCGAAAGGCTTACGGAGATATTCGGCGAAATTAGACACGACACAGCTCGCTGATGGAGAACTCGTAACGACTCCAACACGCTGATAATTTGAAGTTTCTATACTAGAGTAAGGACGATACAGTAAATTGTGTTTTACGATATATTTCTCACTCGTGTCATTGTTGCACGTATCTAGACATGTATAAGTGACAACGGTTGTTTTTATTGATGTGTAATATTGTGGATGAGAGAAATCGTGATTTTTTTTTTCGATTAAAATGATCGATGTGAGTAATCGGTACTTTCATCCCGATCTGGTTGCACTTACTAATCCTCTAAAAAATTACTTTTCTCTTCGCTTACATAAAGCACAGCCCGGATGACGAATTCTATCGGCACGTATACAAAGCAAGGAATTACACATTCACGCATACCGCACGAGAAGTAATCTTAAACCACGTGATATCCTGCTTGGTGCCACTCGAGTGACAGGCTAGTGGGTGAGGTGTAGAAACTCAACGAAAACCATTATTTTATTGTTTGTTATCTCGACTTTTAACATTGTTATGAATGGCTGAAAATGTTCAAATATACCAAAGTATTTTTGCTTGTTTGTTTGATTCGTTGTTAAGAACAAAGCTGCACGATGGGCTACCCGTGCATTTGCCCACCACGGGTATCGAAACCCAATTTTTAACATTATAAGCCCTCAAACGTACCGATGAGTCACTGGGGCTAACATTAAAGGAAGTATTTTCGATTCGTTGTAGTATATACATATTTCTGCTCTGCTCAGTTTTAGTTAATTTCAGATATTGTTTACGTACAATAAAACGTTTGACCGTAAATGTCAGTCTTTTACCTGCTTAAAACGTATACCCCCCCCCCTCCAGTTGTTCAGTGGTTACTCTGAAGGCTTATGCCGCTAAACAACCGGGTTTCGATACACCTGGTTGGCACGCCACAGATAACCCATCGTGTAGCTTTGTGCTTAACAAACCAACAATATCACATTTTAAGGTGATTTACTCCTTACACGGTGAGGTAAATCTATAAATAACACCCAATCCTCAACTAAAGCTCCCAGCTTAACTATGTTTGTTTGTTTTAAATTTCGCGCAAAGCTAGTCATTACCATCCACCGCCAACTCTTGGGCTACTATTTTACCAACGAATAGTGGGATTGACCGTCACATTATAACGCCCCCACGGCTGAAAGGACGAGCATGTTTGGTGGGACGGGGATTCGAACCCACGACCCTCTGATTGCGAGTCGAGCGCCCTAACCACCTGGCCATGCGGGGCCACTTAACTATGTATAATATGGCTTGGAAAGAAAACATAAATACAATTTCGGTGGTTTTTAAAGTGTTGAACTTTTAAAGAAAAAAATAAAACTGTTAAAATTCCGAGAACAATAATAAGATTAAAAACTTGTTGAAACAACAAACAGGAACGAAATTAAAAACTTAATATTAAAAGCCGTCGCTAGGATTT